CAGAACTTGACTCACTGATACAAGAGGCCTAGCTTTTGGCCTTTTTTGGCTTTTGACATGCCTTCCTCACCAAGCTTAATCATTTCTAGTTTTTGATTTAAAGTGAGAGAGTTTCACCTGAACACTTAGAAACCATAGTAGGGTTATTACATGGCCTAATTTCAGTATTGTTGTGTCTCAGGGAATAAGGAGGCCCGAGGAGAGGAAGAGAGATGGGGGAACAGCCAGTTGGTGGAGAAGTCAAGAACACACACAGCACTTACCGATTAAGTTTGCCATCTTATGTGGGCATGGTTTGTGGTTCCCCAAAACAATTACAACAGTAAGATCAAAGATCACTGATCACCATAACAGACGTAATAATAATGAAAAAGTTTGAAATGTTGTGAGAATTACCACATGTGACACAGAGACAGGAAGTGAGCAAATGCCGTTGGAAAAATGGCACCAATAAACTTGCTCAGTGCAGGGTTCTCACAAACCTTCAATCTGTAAAAAATGCAATATCTGTGAGACACAATAAAACGAGGTATGCCTGTACATAGTAAATGAGCAATAATGGGTAGCTATCATTATTATTTAATCAACCATTCCATTTATTTATACAGTAAAAATTTATTACATGGTTATTATGTGTCAGGGCCTGCCAGGCTTCCTACCAGGGTTCTCAATACCTTGAACTTGGAGTCCCATGGTTTCCACTTATGTATGAGACACTTAGTCGTAATAGTAGTAATGATAGCTGTAATGTCCTGAGTTCCTAATTATGTGTCAGGCATTCTGCTAGGTGCTTTATTACTGTATTGCCTTTAATCTTTATCCCCATTTTATAGAAGCAGGAATAGAGATGTAGAGTCTATGAAAGTTACCCAGGGTACATAGAAAATGTCAAGCCTGGGATTTAGATTGTCTGCTCTTTTTTTTTTTTCTGTTCTGCACTGACTGTTGTTACTGTCACCCTAAATCCATTATGTCCCAGACTGAACTTGGTTTCCTCAAATGGGCTTTGTCTTTCAACTTCTCAGGGGCACTACCATTCTACTTGTCACCCATGTCTGAAAGGCGGGAGATGTCTCCCTTCTCCATCAAGCCCCTATATCTGGTTAATCACTAGGATTTTAGTTCAAATGCATCTTTTTCTCCCTCTTTCTCCTATCCTGGCTGGGCCCCTCTTGACTTGGATTTGTTAGTTTTCAGCATTTGTTCCACTGCCCCCCATGAAAGGGGAGGTTTACACAATACACTTTCATGGACTCCACCAGATTTTGATAAAACACCCTGAAGTTTTCCAAGAAGTAAAGCACAATAGTTTGTTACTGCTGCAGCTGCTTGTCAGCGGTAGAAGCTTCGAATGGGCTCACAGCAGTGGTACAGATAAGTAAGCTGCTGTGAATATAACCTTTCTCTCCTACCCAGGAAAACACGTTTGGAGAGAACTATGCTCCACTCTGTTTTAAAAAGTAAAGCTTTCCCCTTTAACAAACAGTACTGGGAAAAGTGGATATCCACATGCAAAAGGATGGCGTTGGACCCCTATCTCATATGATATACAAAAATTAAAGAAGAATGGATCAACAACCTAAATATAAGAGCTGAAACTGTAATACTCTTAGAAGAAAACATAGGGGCAAATCTTCATGAACTTGAATTTGACAGCTCTTTGGTATTACATCAAAAGTACTGTATGAGCAACAAAAGGAAAAATAGATTAAGTGGACTTCTTAGAAACTTTTGTACATCAAAGGACATTATCAAGTAAGTAAAAAGACAGCCTACAGAGAGGGAAAAATATTTGCAAATCACGTATTTGATAAGGGTCTAGTATCCAGCGTATATAAAGAACTCATAAAGAACTCATAACTCAACAACAAAACAACAGACATTTCTTCAGAGAAGACATACAAATGGCCGAAAAACACATGAAAAGATGCTCAACGTCGTTAGTCATTAGGGAAATGCAAATCAAAACCACAGTGAGATACCACTTCACATCCACTAGAATGGCTATAATAAGAAAAAGAAAAAGGGAAATGGCAAGTATGGCGAGGATGTGGAGAAATTGGAACCTTCATACATTGCTAATGGGAACGTAAAATGGTTCAGCTGCTGTGGAAAACAGTTTGCTGATTCTTCAAAAAGTTCAACATAGAATTACCATATAAACTAGTAATTCCACTCCTAAAGAATTGAAAACAGGTACTCAAACAAGTATACGTGTACACGTGTTCATAGTAGATTCACAGTAACCAACAGATGGAAACAACCCAAATGTCTGTCAATGGACAGAAGGAGAAACAAATAGTGGTATATACATATGATTGAATATTATGCAGTCAGAAGAAGGAGTAAAGTGCTGGTATGAGCAACAATGTGGATGAACCTTGGAAACATGATGCTAAGTGAAATAACCAGATGTGTCACATATTGTATGATTCCATTTATATGAAATATGCAGAATAGGTAAATCGATAGAGATAGGAAGCAGGTTGGTGGTTGCCAGAGGCTGGGAAGAGGGGAGAATGGGGAACAATGCTTAATGGGTGTGGAATTTCCTTTTGGGGGTGATGAAAATGTTTTGGCACTAGGTAGAGGGGATGGTTGTACGACGTTGTGAATGTACTAAATGCTACTGAATTGTTCACTTTAAAATGGTTAATTTCATGTTATGTGAATTTCATCTCAATTTTTTAAATCTCAAAAAAAAAAAGTAAAACTTTCACAAACTTTGTTGCTTTAATTGTTAATAGTAATGCGTACTTGGTAGATATCAGTATTTCAGGACACTGTTCTTGAGAATCATTGCCGGAATTACTAGCTGCCAGGATTATAGCCCGCTCTCCTTTGCTGGGGGCAGGACCCCTAGGCCAGGGCTTTCTAACTCAGATGCCTTCAGGGGCATTTTTCCTGTTGGGATAAATGTTTGAGGTCAGCTGGATGTAAGGCATCAGGGAGTCATGGAGATTAGGTGGAACTGGGCTGGACGTACACTGTCTAAATGCATTCCAGTTTAGACAGACTGCCCCTGGGCTGGTTCTTGCCCCGTCTTCATCTTTCGGCCATCCCTCTTAAGCCATCTGACAGACTGATGTATTTTAAAAATCATCTTCAGCATGCCATCCCATTTGTAAAAACCAATTTCCTGTCGCAGAATCTAAACCTCTCTGCCTTCCCCTTCCCGCAGAGTCTCTGAGAAAGCTCAGCTGGACCCATACAGCATCGTGAAACTGTTACCCTCCTCCTACCTCACCCTGTCCCAGCCACCTGGAGGCCTCGGGTGACAGGACTGAGCCCCATTAGATCTGTAAGGGGAAAGGCTGTCTCTGAATCCTCCATTTAAAGGCGACTCAGGGAAATGCTCAGCAGCTGGTTGCCGCCACTGCAGAGGGCATGGTGGGTTTCTGTGGTGCCACTTCTCCAGCAGTCTGAATGCATGTCAGTCCGTTATCTGTCTACCCGCAGAGAAGGGGAGAGAGGCACAGAAGAATCTGGAAAGAGTTTTGTGATTAGATGAGATGTAGGAAGTTGTGTTTTGTTTGTTTGTTTTCATCCGCCCAAGCTTTTAGAGGCTTGGACCCATCAGGATGCTGGAAGCTTGGAGCGGGCGGGGTGTGTCAGGGGAGCAGGGGGGAGGGTGTGGAGGAAGGAGGCTTAGTCCATTAGATCTAGGGAGTGGCTGGCACTGACTTCTCTTATGCTTCCAGCCCTGTAGCTGCTTGTAATCCCTCTTTACTGCTGATGTTCTGGGAAGCATGTAGGACGTAGAGATCTTTGGCCCACGTCCTTTCATTATGTAACACTCCAGTGGACGTGTGCCGGGGCGGGGTTTGGGGGAGCATGAAGAGAAAAGTACCGTCGTGTGACTTGAGGGACTCCCTGCGGCTCTTGCCCCAAAATCCAGCCCCCTTACCCCACTCTCCCCATTTAGACTTGAACGGCAGCGAGAATCTTCCTTCCTTCCCTGAAATCCCATGTACAGAGCTCTGAACTCCCGGTGGCTCAGCGTCTGGCCCATAGAGGTGGTCCTGACCCAGGGCCCTTGGAACCGTCCCACCTGTGGAAATGGAGGCTCGGCTTCGTCATATCCCAGGAGCTCGCTAGCTGCCGACTCAGGCAGGGTTTCTGGCCTTTGCTTACAGCACTTTAGTCAATGGGCGTTTTTGCTCTTTTGGGGGAGATTGGCTCCCACGAGGGCATGCTTCTCGCTGGAACCGTCATGTGGGTGAGCATCAGCGTGTGTGCCCTCTGACCTCCAACCTGTCAGCCACTCCCCAGTGGGTGCTGGTGAGTTCCTGGATTAAGGGAAAATCTCTGCCCAAATGACATGCTTTCTTTTTCTTTAATTTTTATTTTATATTGGAGTATAGTTGGTTAACAATGTTGTACACCTGAAACTAAGACATGCTTTCTTAAGACTTTAAATAAAGTAACGTGGAAAGGTTCATGGAAACTGTTGAGACACTGTCGGAAACCTTAAAAGCCCAGCAGGCACCTCCACTCCTGGTGCTGTGAGAGTGCTTAAAGCCCAGCGGTGGCCTGGAAGTCAGGAAGGCCAGGTATCCGCTCCTCAGAAGGGTAGGCTGTGACCCCACAGCTCTTCTTTCGTAGGGTGTGAGTGGGCCGTATGGTGTCATGGCAACAGGGAAGGCTCTCCAGCCAGGCTGCCAGGGTTTCAGTCCTGGCTTATTAGTTGAGTGGCCTTGGAAGATTTATTTAGTGGTGCTGTATCTCAGTTTCCTCATCTGTTTGTAGAGCAGCGATGGCAATAGTATGTACCTCGTAAGGTTGTTGCGAGGGTTGAAGATAATGCCTGTAAAATACTTGGCACCAAAACGGATGCATCCTAGGTGTTTAAAGATGGTGGCTCCCACCATCCACCCATGGTAGCCACATGATGGAGCCTGCAGGACAGGACAAGAGGATGGCGGGAGGGGTCTGTATTGTGTGGTTTCCCTGTGATTAACGCAGACTCTGGTTTCTTCTGTATTCCTTTCCTTGCCCAGTACTGATCCTCCAGAAGGTGGAGAACGGAGACCTGAGCAAAAAAGTTCTGAAGATCACCGATTTTGGCCTGGCTCGGGAATGGCACCGAACCACCAAGATGAGCGCAGCAGGGACGTATGCCTGGATGGCACCTGAAGTCATTCGTGCCTCCATGTTTTCCAAAGGCAGTGACGTGTGGAGGTAAGGTCCAGAGGTGCAGGGTCAGCGCTCCCCAGATCTATTTTGGCTGCACAGATGCTTCGGGACTTGGAGAATTGAGGTTGCATAGAATCCCAGGCACCCCAGGTAGGTCTAGGTGACCCCTTCAGAGCAATCTGCACTAAATCCCACGTTGCCAAAGGACAGTTTCTAACACCTTCATCTGCCAGAAATCTCCCCAGTGCTATGGGGCAAGTACCACCTCTGTGTAGGCCCCTTTGTGTTGGTGATTGCTCCCTAGGAAGGACCAGGAGATTCTAGGGGCAGTGTGTACTGACCTCCAGGGTGGTGAGGGTACCCAGACACTCCTGGAGACCTTCCCCACAGTCACCCTGGCCTCCTTAGCAACAGTGGCTGTTACTGTTGGACTTGTTCTCGCTATAAGCCCTTCGGCTGATGGGTATCGTCTGCGCTGTCTCTTTTTTCTGGGTGGGCTGGAAATTATCCTTTCCAGTTATCCAGTTAAGCTTTCAGTCAAGGCTCTGTCTTGCCTGTTGAGCATTGATATAGAAACGGGAAGATAGGTCTCAAGCATGCGCCCAGAGTTGCAGAGTCAAAGATTAGACCAACCGTTCCCCTTAGTTAATGTCAGCCCAAGAGGTCACAAGGACATGTTGGATCTAAAAATCTTTCTCCCACTGATGGGAGGATGAGCATCTACAGAGTAAGCATCCTCATGACTGTGAGACAGTAGCTTCACCTTGGTAGGCAAAAGAAAGGACTGTAGATTATCATCGTATTTCATCTATGAAGTTGTTGCTTCTCAGGGTGTTGTAAAGTGAGCTTGTTGTGTGTGTATATTTTACTTGTTGTAAAGTGAGCTTGTGTGTGTGTATATTTTAAATAACAGCTTTATTGAGGTATTACTCACATACTGTAAAGTGCACTTTTTAAAATGTATAAGCCAGTGGTTTTTAGTAAATTTACAATGTTTTACGTTGATCATCATTGTTATTAGTTTCCTAAGGCTGCTGTAACAAATTACCACAAACCTGGTGGCCTAAAGCAATACAAATTTACAGTCTAGAGGCCAGAAGTCTGAAATCGGTATCAGCAGGGCCATACTCTCTCCAGAGACTTTGGGGCAGATTCTGTTCCAAATAAGGATTCTGGGTATTAGGACATGGACATATCTTTTCAGGGCCACCATTCAACCCATGACAACCACTAACTATTTCCAGAATATTTTTTATCACTCAAAAAAACCCTCAATACCTATTAGTAGTCATTCCCTAATACCCCCTACCCCTACCCCTACACCCTGGGAACCACTAATTTACTTTCTGTCGCTATGGATTTGCCTCTTCTGGGCATTTCGTATAAATGGAATCATACAGTATGTGATCTTCTGTGACTGGCTTTTTTCATTTGCATAATGTTTTCAGGGTTCATATATGTTTTTCAGAACTTCATTCTTTTAATAGCTGAATCATATTCCATCATATGGGTATACCACAATTTGTCTGTTCTTTAGTTGATGGACATTTGGGTTGTTTCACTTTTTGTCTAATGTAAATAATGCTGCTATGGACATTTGTTTACATGCTTTTGTGTGAACATATGTTTTCAGTTCTCTTGGATGGTATACACCTAGGAGTGAAATTTTCTGATTCATATGGTAATTCTATATTTAACTTTTTCAGGAACTGCCAGACAGTTTTTTACCACAGCCATTACCATTAGCAACGCATGAGGGTTCCAATTTCTCCACATCCTCTCAACACTTGTTATTTTTTATTATAGCCATCCTAGTGGATGTGAAGTGGTATATCTCACTGTGGTTTTGATTTGTGTTTCCCTAATGACATCGAGCATCTTTCCATGTGCTTATTGGCCATTTGTATATCTTCTCTGAATAAATATCTGTTCAGATCCTTTGCCAATTTTAAAATTGGGTTATATGTCCTTCCATTTTTATGTTGAAAGTGTTCTTTATATATTCTAGATACAAGTCCCTTATCAGATGCATGATTTGCAAATAATTTCTCCCATTCTGTGGGTTTTCTTTTCACTTTCTTGATGGTATCCTTTGAAACACAAGCATTTTTAATTTTGACGACGTTTGGTTTATCAGTTTTTTTCTTTGATTGCTTGTGCTTTTGGTGTCATATCTAAGAAACGAAGTCATGAAGTTTTATACGTATGTTTTCTTCTAAGAGTTTTGTAATTTTAGCTCTTACATATAGGTCCATTTTGTTCCGTTTTGTTCCATTTTGACCTAATTTTTGTATGTGGTGTGAGGTAGGAGTCCGGCTTCATTCTTTTACATGTGGCTATCTAGTTGTCCTAGCACCATTTGTTTAAAAGACTGTTTCTTTCCTCATTGAATTGTCTTGGCATCCCTGTCAAGAAGCAGTTCACCACAAATGAAAGAGTTTATTTTTGGACTCTCAATTCTACTCCATTGATCTATGTGTCTCCCATTTTGCCAGTGCCACCTGTTTTAAGAACTTTGTAGCTTTGTACTAAGTTTTGAAATTAGGAAGTGTGAGTCTTCCAACTTTCTTCTTTTTCAAGATTATTTTGGCTATTCTGAATCTCTTCAATTTCCATACGAATTTTAGGATCATTTTGTCAGTTTCTGAGAATTAGGCAGCTAGAATTTTGATAGGGATTATGTTAAGTCTGTAGATCACTTTGGGGAGTATTGCCATCTAGATAATATTGTCTTTCAATCCATGAATATGGGATATCTTCCTATTTATTTAGACCTTCTTTAATTTCTTTCAGTGATGTTTTATAGCTTCTGTATATTGAATCTTATTTCACTACACATTAATTATGGGTGAAGTACCTATTGTGAAGAAAAGAGTTTTCCTTTCCTTAAAATATCTGACTAGATCTCATTAGGTTGAGCTGTATCCTGATATTCAACTGTTTTTCACCCACAAAAGCAGCAATTTCATATGCTTCAACCTACACTTTCATTGCTTGACTGCAGGCTAATGAGATTAGTTAATGTATTAATTAAGCTAAGCTGCTATTGCAGAGAGACCTACTGATGGTAGAAATGTACTTCTTTTTCAAGAGTAGTCCAGCCTGTCTAGGCTGGTGGGGCATCTTTGCACCTTGAGATCATTCAGGAACTCAGGTCCTTTCAGCATCCCTCGGCGTGTTATTCTTTTCTGAATGGTTACATCTGAGTGAAAGTGACTTCAGAATAATTATATCCCACAGAAAAGGGGAACGAGAGCTTATCCATGGCAAGAAGCTTGTCTTTAATTTGGAGATGACTCCAAAAGTAGCTATTATTATTTCCGTTTTACAGATGAGGTAACCAAGGCTTAGATGATTGAAATCAGTTGCCTGGGTTCACCCAGGTGGTAGAGGTAAAGCTGTGATTTGAACTAGATATGTGTCTCTTGAAACTCTGTGCTTTTAGCCACGTCACCATCTATATACTCTTACTCCTGTGCTTTGGGCATCCTCTTCCAGGGTGATTGGCCCACCATGCCTGGGACCCAGCAGCCTGTCCCAAGAGGGCCAAAGCATGTCTAGGAACTTGGGACAGAGCTGGTTCCCAGACTGACTTGTAATGCATTTATTCCTCCAAGAAATGTTTGTTGAATACATACTTACTCTGTTATGACCAAGCAAGTGGACTTGCTTCCCGCTGTACGATGGAAAGACCAAACACCGAGGCAACGGTCTTTTGCAGAGAGAAAAAGAATTTATTGCAGGGTGGCCAAGCAAGGAGGCAGGAGGCAATGCTCAGATATGTCTACCCAGTTGATCAGCTGTTGAGCAGCATGTTTATCATGGAAGTAGGGAATAAGAGGCAGGGGGGCGGGTGAGCTGGGAAATGGTCGGTGGAAAGTAATTTGTACGTTTCTGGAGTTCTCTGCCCAGACTCAACTGTTCTTCATGCCTCTTCATGGGTTGCATGTGCAAATTCAGGGGGGTTTCCTATGTTACATGGGGTGGATTGTCAGCCTGTGATGTCTAAAGTTCACTATCAGAGTTCACCATTGGTTGTCCTAGTCCCTCAGTGTGCCTGAAAGGGCTGTCAGCAGGTTGTTGGCATATCTGTGGTTTCCCTGGTATTCTGCAAAACAAGCTTGGTGTCTTCCATGTATCATTTTATTTCTATCTTGTTTCTACCTTATGGGCCTTGAGTGTGTAAGGTAAGGGTATGGCTCCAGTGTTAGGTACAGGGCTGAACCTGAATCCAACCCCCTTCCCTCCCACTCCCCTCCTGGAGCTCCTGCAGGGCCTTGGGCCTCTGCAGTTGGTGGGTGCCCAGGGCCAGCTGAGTTTGTCTCACTGTTCTTCGAGTACAGTTCTCTAGGCCTCCTCTGTGCTGTGGTGGAGCGTAGGATAAGAATGACCCAGACCCCCTCAAGAAGAGCAGTTCTTGCCCTTTGGTTGTGTTGTGCAGGGAGGGCACTGGTGACAGCCAGAGGCCATCGTCCCACGGTGACTCTCTGCCTGTCGTGTATAGGATGAGGTGGAGGCATTTTGTTAATTAATCATTTTACGTTTTTTAAATTACGGAAGGAAAACATGTTCACTATAGAAAAAAAAAGAAAATATGGATAAACAAAAAAAGAAAAGGAAAGAAAAGAAAAAATCACCCACAACGCACTTCTAAAGATAATCTATGTTGACATTTTGGTGTGTTTATTCCTGTTCCTGTGATCACCCACCCATCCCTTAAAATGGGATCATTCTATTTTGTAAGCTGCTTTTTGAATGTAACAGAGCATGAACATATTGCCATGTTAATAAGTATTTATTATGTCAATAAATATATTAACATATACATTTATACATAAGTTGGTAAATATGTTGCCATTTTGAATGAGGGTCTGGTTAACAGCAAGAATAGTAAATTGTGTGTTACCTAACAGTTTACAGAGTACCTTCACATATGGTAGTTCAGTTGTCTTTGCCAAAGATTACTAAACAGTCAGCTTGGTTCCTGGGATGTGGGCTCACAAGCTGATGACCAAGTGCAGGAGCCCATTCAAGGGACACCCTCTCCTTTTTGGAGGGTGGGTCCCTGAGTTAACAGTCTTAAAGTCCATGCAGGTTAATAAGAAAAACAGCCGTGGCCCAGCACAGGTACAGAATTGCTGCACCTTTGGTTGGGAAGGGTTGCTATTCACTCTAGGGCTCTTCTTCATTTTGAAAAAAATAAAACATCCCTCTCCCACATGTGATATTATCAAACAGTGGAAAAGATGACTGCACCTCTGGAGGTGGTTAATTATTGGCACAGGGAGCAATCCTGAGGGTTTGGGTTTAGGCTTTGACTCTTGGGAAATCATTGGCAGCACTGTGGGGTCTGGCACTTCTCTGGGGGGGAAGGGACTCCGAGGCAGAGTTCTAGCTGAGCTGGTACTTCGAGGCTGCTTGTAAACAGTCTTGAACAGACCTCTTGACCTTCTCTTAACCCTGGGAGGGCAAGAAAGTAGGCTAAACCTGAGGTGAATCATGTGGACTTCTCCTGTCCACCTCTCCCTGAGGCTCAGATCCATCTAATGTGTGTTTCTCCAGCCCCCTTTTTGGACTCTGTTCCTGACAGAGGAGCACCAAGCCTTCATTTACATCACCCACCTTCTGTTATAAAAATACAGAGGAACGCTGGCAGAGGAACACTTTGACTGGTTTAGTCATCCCCAGAAAGCCTTCTTCCCTGAATGCTGGTACCCCTCGGCACGGCTCTCCCCAGCCACTTTCTCATTTCAGGCCTTTCCGAGAGGGAAGCACACGGTGTTTACGAACCATAGATGGAGGTTTCAGGTTGCGGGGTAGTTATTGTTATTCTTACCTTGCAGCTCTTCTATGAGGTGGGGATTGCTGTCTCTGTTACACAGATGAGGAAACAGGTTTGGAGAGGTGAACTTGCTTTCTTAAGGTCCCACGGCTGTAAGTGGTAAAGCAGGCATTCGACTCAAGTCTGTCTAAGTCTTTCTTGAGCAGCACTTCTCCCACTTTTCCTAGTTGTAGAGCCCTTCAAATGGAACGGAATGCCCATTAACAAAGGACCAAGCCAGGTGAGAGCAGAGCTGCCCTTGTGGAAGCTGGGAGGGGAGGGTCCCTGGCTTCTTTCCCTTCCAGGTGGCCTGAGACATCTCCACGGAGTAGAGCTCAGTGTAAACACCATCACAGAGGAAACACCAGGACACAAACAGGACACATGTTTGGATCTTCGAAAATACCCTGTCTTTCCAGGTGGTTAGGCTTGGGACATCGATTGTCTTTGCCTGGATGGAAGAAAGGGGTTTCGGGAACCTTGAGTTTTTGTTCCTCAGGGTGGAAGTGGGCAGTAATGCCGAGAGCAGGCAACTGAAGATGGGAGTCTCTGTAACCGGGAATCTAGTTAGCAACGCTGAGAGCTCGTAGAGGTCACTTGGTGGACGCTGCCCAGCATGACTGCTGTCTGGATAAGTCACATGAAAGGTTTGGCAGGAAGTGTCCTAGTGTAGTTCTCGATGATATTTGGGGCTTACTCTGGGGCACCCAGGGCAGCCTGAAGGACCATCTGACTACACACTCACTCTTACACCCACCCACCAATTCATTCATTATGTGAGGGCCTAGGCGTCCCAGAGCCTGGGCAAGACCCTGAGAATGCAAAGATTAGGAGCTACTGTCCCTGCCCTTTAGGAGCCCACCGGCTGGTAAACAAACAACTAGAATACCTGACAGCGCAAACAAGGGCTGAGTAACATGCTGTGGTGTCAGGAGGCTTCCTAAAGTGTCCATTTGTTCCCATCAGCCTCAGACTAAGATCCACCTTCTTGTCAGGACAAGACAAGACCTGCAACTACCAGTCTACTAGGCTTTTTTTTTTTTTCCTGTCAAAATACATAAAGAAAATGATAGTATTTGGAGGGCTCACTCGGGGAAAGCCATCGTCCAAGGACATTGGCCGGTCCACTCTGAGGGTCCCTCTGTAGAGACCCCCCGGGATGTCCTGGCACATTGGTGGGCACATTGCTCTCCTTTGGAGCCATGCCAGGCCATGCCATGGGATCCTTTGAGGGCAAGCCCATGCTGTTGTGCTCTCTGATCCCTGTCTCTGGAGCCCTGGCTCCTCCCTCAATTAGCAAAGTTTCACTCAGGGTTCAGCTACCTCCTGCCTCCGTCCTGGTCTGGTGTAGGTGACCCTCCTTTGTGCTGTCATAGTATCTCTGTTGTGACTCCTCTTTCCATATTCTAATTGATGCTTTTTCTATTCCTCTTGGTAGTCTCTTTGTGGATAAGATCTGTGTTTTTTTATCCTGTATCCCAGTTCTTGGCATTGAGTTTGATGCACAGTAAATATTTAGTAGATGTTTAAAATGAATGAATAAATGATGGTGCATTTGAATCATATCTTGAAAGATGATTAGTAGAGTTTACCAAGCAGAGAACTGGTCGAAGGGCATTCTAGGGAGAAAGAATTGAGAATTGGTGCAGGTCCACCGTGACTTACTCCACATAGGCCCTTAATATATGCTGCTAACCCTATCTAAAACTTGCTTCCCTCACCTGCAAAATGATGATCATACTTGCCTTGCAGGTTTGTTGTAGGGATTCAGGATCATGTTTGTAAATGTCTTAGCATGCTGCACATACAAGGTACCATGATCGAATCGTTGCTGGGTTTATTATTTTTTTTTTTTAAATAAATATGTCTTCTTGTTGGTTGTAAACTACTGATGAGTATTACCAAAAAATTGAGCTTTGTGTTGAAAATATAAGGAGAGGCCCTCTTCCAACTGTTCATGGCCTTATGGTTTCTGGTCCTGACTTATTCCTGGAAGGATTAAACGCTACATGAGTTTGCCTGGTTCTGATTGTGAATTCATAGAATAATTATTCCATAAGCTTTGTGCTCCCCATTCCCTAACTCACAGAACGTGTGAAAAGAAATTCTTCATGTGGACTTGAAAGGTAGCGAAAGAACTTGAAGCCCTCACAGCTGATGCGCTGCTCTGCTCTACCGATGCAGTCCACCCTTGTGAAACTTTCCCCTTTGAATTAGACAGAGGTCACCATTAAGGATGCACTCACGCTGACGGGGGCAGGAATCTATTCAACCTAGTGGGCACTGAAAGAAATCTTTCACAGGAGCAAAATATGTTTGTTTCGGGTGGTCATCTCTCTGCTTTTATAAAGCTAAAAAAAAATGTATCTGTTGCTATATGATCCAGCAATCCCACTTCTGCGCATATATCCGTACAAAATTATAACCGAAAAGATACACGTACCCCTATGTTCATAGCAGCACTGTTTACAATAGCCAAGACATGGAAACAACCCATGTGCCCATCAACAGACGATTGGTTTAAGAAGATGTGGTATATATACACAATGGAATGTTACTCAGCCATTAAAAAGAATGAAATAATGCCATTTGCAGCAACATGGATGGACCTAGAGATTATCATACTAAGTGAAGTAAGTCAGAAAGAGAAAGACAAATACCATGTGATATCACTTATATGTAGAAACTAAAATACAACACAAATGAACATATCAACGAAACAAAAACAGACTCATAGACATAGAGAACAGACTTGTGGTTGCCAAGGGGGAGGGGGGGAGGGAGGGAAGGATTGGGAATTTGGGATTAGCAGATGCAAACTATTGTATACAGGATGGATAAACAACAAGGTCCTACTGTATAGCACAGGGAACTATGTTCAATATCCTGTGATAAACCATAATGGAAAAGAATATGAAAAAGAACGTATATATGTATAAGTGAATCATTTTGCTATACAGCAGAAATTAAACACAGCATTGTAAGTCAACTATACTTCAATAAAATTAAAAAAATAAAAAATAATGTATCTGTGACTTAAGCTGAAGTTTTCTTAAAGCAGGAAAAAATGTATTCCCAGAAGCCTGCCTCTTCTCCCAGTTTATTACATTCACAGTAGCAGCCACAAAATAGATGCGGCCCTTGAGCACTGATTGAAACACTAGAGCAGTGCATTTCATTTCATGACAGCCTTGTCAGACTGCTTGTGTTATTTGCACTTCACACATAAGGAATTTGAGGAAAAAGGCCAAGCGTGCTTGACTCCAGAGTTTTCGCTTATAGCCGGTAGGCTTTATGGTCTCCCTTTTATATTATAGCAGTACTTCTGTTTTGTTAGTCTCCCTACATGTCAGAGAGGCTGTGGGATGCTCGTCAAAGCCTCGCGAGATATTTGCATGAAGTTGCACCTATGGTTCATGGTGCGGCTTCTGTCTTCTTCCTCTCCTTAGCTATGGGGTGCTGCTTTGGGAGCTCCTGACCGGTGAGGTGCCCTTCCGAGGAATCGATGGCTTAGCAGTCGCTTATGGAGTGGCCATGAACAAGCTCGCCCTTCCCATTCCTTCTACATGCCCGGAACCTTTTGCCAAACTCATGGAAGGTGAGTGCCCCCTGGCTGGAACAAAACTGGAGACTGTTTATTCTTCTGTCGGCACTCGATAGATTGTGGCCGGTTCTGCAGGGTCAGTAACTGAAAGAGGAGGTGAAGTATGAGTCAGTCAGGGAGGAATCCTGAAGATGGTTGGAAGAGCTACTACAAGATGATGTCAGCACCCTGCTACACTGGTGTCACCGACGTCCCTTCTGTCCATCTAGTGACTGCAGAACATAGCTTAGAAACTGAAGGCTGCTATCCAGTGCTTCAGAATATTATTATTTAATCCAAAGTAAGAAGGTATAGCAGCTTTTATCTCAAGACCTCTGAGTGTCTTACATATAGAAATGAAGATCTATGAGGAAAGGAATTCTAAAATTCATCTCGGCAAGCCCTATGATTTTGTCAGCGAGAAATCCTAAGCTGAGAGAGGTTAAATGGATAGGTGGTCACTCCATTGGTTAGTGGCTCAGCTGAGCGTAGATAGAATTCACTTTTCCTGACTCCCATGCTTTTCATCCTTGCCTTCTCATCAGCTCATTGAGTTGGGGAAGGGTAGCTCATTTATTTATGGGAAATTGGGGCCCAAGGTGTAGTTACCCATTGTCAGGACTGGAATCGTGCAGTAACTTGATAAACTGTGGTAGCTGTAGTTCATGCAAGAAAACGCTTTGGACTTGCCTTACCTATGTGAAATCAATAGTGAGAATGGAATGGGTGCAGAGCTGCTGCACTGGGTTTCCAGCTTCACTGTTGGTGATTGTGAAGTTGGGCAGATTGCTTTACTTCCTGAGCCCTGTTTGGGGTTCCCTAAGTCCCAGTCTCTATTTCTGGAAGGAGAAATGAGAGGTGGTTTTCTGTCAAATGAGGTCACGTCATACCCTAAATCTTACATTTGCCTCTGTCCGCTAATGCTTCCTGCTGACTCCTGTGCCCCATGCAGATTGCTGGAATCCTGACCCCCATTCACGACCATCTTTCACGAATATCCTGGACCAGCTAACTACCATAGAGGAGTCTGGTTTCTTTGAAATGCCCAAGGACTCCTTCCACTGCCTGCAAGATGACTGGAAACATGAGATTCAGGAGATGTTTGACCAACTCAGGGCCAAAGAAAAGGTAAGAAAGAGAAGCAAAAGGTATGCATTGAATTAGTGGATCTTCTCCACTGGGGCCTCTGGACCGATTCTGACACGACCACGTTCCTGCTTGGTTTGTGGCAACAGAGCAGCTTTTTCCTTCCTGGCTTTAACATGGAGAGTTCTCCAGGCCTCAGGTGTGACCTGAAACGATGAGAAGTTTTCTTTCTTTTGGGATGTGGCAGGAATAAGTGGGGGGAGTCATGAATCCAAAGCTGTCCTTGCAGAGTATCTACTTTATTGTCCAAACTGGAGGAGGAGCATGGCTGGGCAAGTACCAGCAGGGTGTCTCGCCCCGCCGGCTGGAAATACGAGAGCGTTCTAGAAAGCTTTCTTTGTTCTGCAGTGGACTTGTAGAAGGGGTTTAACTGGATGTAGGGATACTTCAATACTGAGAGCAATTATCAGAACATCCTGCCAGTGTCTTTGGGGATCAGAATCAGAAACACCACATGGGCTAAAAATACCATGAGTCTGAAGTTGTTTGGCATTTTTCATGTTTTTATGAAAAGGGCTCAAAGGCTGAACCAACTGAGGAGCTCAGAGACCCATAGCCCATTTGCCTTTTTGTTCTGGAGACCATTCCTTAAATGGCCCCTCTCTATGCCCGTAGTGTCTGGCTAGCAGTCAGCATCACACAGAGGAAGCTAACCAAAGTAGTTATGTTGTTTATCCTGCGGGGCCAGTGGCTAGGGGCACGAGGGATGTCCATGGATAGACTTGGTTAATTTCTTCTTTCCCTTCTCACTCCCCTCTGTGGAAATTTGGGAAGCAGTATAATAATAGTAGAATCTCAAATTATCTTTATGGCTTCCCAGTTCTTTCACTTGAAAGGTCTGAGGAGACCTCTTCACCCATTTCATCCAGGAGTCTTATGGCCCCTGCTGCCAGCATGTAGGGCAGGTGTTATTAACTTTTTCGTCTCAGAGCTGAGGGTCAGTGTCTGTCTAAAGTCACACAGCTAGTAAGTGAGGAGGCAGAATCTTGAACTGGGGTCTTCTGATTCCTAAACCATTTTCTTTCCAATATCATCGTTTCCCTAAACAAAGGACTTAAAAATCATTTCTGGAGCTGATTTGAAGATATAACTCTTTTGATGCAACATAGCAATCCTTGTGCTGTTTGGCAAGTCAAGGAGCATTCTGCAGGGGGATGCAGTGAGCTTATGACAATTCTTTAAAGACCCAGGGGGAGAGAGGGGTGGATCTGTACTGACCATTGAGCAGAATGATTAAAAGAGACTGTTCCAATTACTAGTTCTATTCCAACTAGAAGAACCCCAGAGTTCCTGGCCTTTTTTTGAGATTGCTGAATCACTGACTCCTGCTTATTTCTTTTTCTTTTTTTAAATTTATTTTTTATTGAAGTATAGTTGAATTACAATGTTGTGTTAATTACTGCTGTACAGCAAAGTGACTCAGTTATACATGTACATTCTTTTTCATATTCTTTTCCATTATGGTTTATCACAGGATATTGAATATAGTTCCGTGGTTATTTCTTTTGATTGATGGAATTATAAGGGTACCAGCCAATAAGAAAAATGAAAGTTGGATTTTGTCAGGAGGTAGTTACTAGAAAAAGTCAAACCAATTCTCGTAATAGCTAACATTTGTAGAGCATGTGCTATTTGCCATGCTCTGTTATGAGTAATTTATATGAATTCTTACATAATCTTGCATAATAAGGTGATAATTGCCTTATGTATTACAGTCCTGTGATATTGGTGCTATTAACTCCATATAACATGTGATGCCCATTTTAATTGCTCAAGGCCACAAATCAGCTACTTTGTTCCAGAGTCCTTGCTTTTAACACCCATGCTGTGATACCTCTCCATTATAAGGCTTGGAGTTGGGCAAGTGAGGGTGAAATGGATAATGAGCTTTCTCTCTGGAGAGATTCCTCTTAAATCATTGTATGTGGAAGATGTGATTTGCATACTATGGAGTTGATACCCAAATAGGTGTTTTGCAAGAAGGGGATTTACCACGCTGGAGGGTTTCCAGGTGTATGGTGCCATAGTTGAGTACTCCATAAATGTCCTGTTTTCCCATATGATTCACTCTTCAGGTTGTCTCAACCTACTTCTGCTTCTGTGTATGTGAGGATGGATTGGTCTCTGGGCTGGGGTTCAGGTTCCCTTAAAGGAAGGAGCTTAAACCCAAGTCATCCCTTAGACAAGAGCATGCAGGAGGGAGGACTTAGGAAGGCTGAGATTAGCTCGAACTAATTTTCAGCTTTCCCATTTAGCAGCAAAATAACCAACCAGGAATAATTTTTCTGAATCTTCGACATGTTTTTGTTCTGATGGTGAAAACAAAGCAGTGGGACCGGGAAGCCAAGGATGTGGAGGGCGCACAACAGTTAATCTTTGGGGCTTATTTGGGGCTTATTTCATCAAAGAAGGAGAAGTTCAAAAGTTCAAGCTCATTTCTCAGGCACTGTGATGAATCCATGTTCCCATAAAGAAGGACCTGCATTTATAAAATTGTCTTCTCTCTCCTCCTCCTTCTTTCTCTCATTCATTCATCGACTCAGCAGTTAATCAACAACTACAGAGGACCTACCATGTACCAGACAACTTTCAAGGTGCTCATCCTCTTCTCATTTTTCTCCTTTCTATCATTTTTATGGTCATTTTCATATACTCTTGAGAACAGAAGGCAAGTTGAACAGAAAACTCCTTTCATCAGAATACTTTATTCCCATTTTGTTTGTTTTCTCTTCTGCTCTCTGCCTGCTGCTCTGCTTCCTCGATATGTGTTCACATACTATTTTCTAGCCCTGGGTTCCATTTCTATAGTTTGTTCTAATCCAGAATGACTTCTTATAGGGGAGCATTTCATTGAGAATTTTGAATTTCAACCACAGAAGTGTTGCTCTGGCTACTTTATTGAAGAAAACTTCTCCCTTTTTAGACATGGTTCTCTCAGGTTGTTGACATGAAAGCTTCTTAAGTTTTAGTCCTCTGCCTCCACCCGACTTCAATCCTAGGCCTGCGGTAACCAGTGTTAACAGTTTAGAGTCCACATGTTTAAATTTTATACGCATGCTTTGTTCTCTTTCCTGGGCTCTCTCCTATTTCCTGATGCCATAAGCCCCCACCTCTTTCCAGGAATTCCATGGTGAGTTCCTTTGTAAATTCATGCAGGAGGAAAAAGGGGAGGGAGGGAAGAGGTTCTGCCCACCTTCTAGAGAAAGTGCCTGGCAAAGACTTCAGGAAATGTTCCCTCTTCTCTTTGCTGTGCTGTCCCCATCCTTCCAGAGCAAATGGTTGTCCTTTTAGATAAGGACAACCATTTTGTCCTTATCTAAAGTTTAAACCACACGCTCAGTGGATTCACTCACCAAGGGAACAAAGATTTAGATGACGCGCCTCACGAACCTTTTGAACAGCCACCCTGGAAATATATTTATTTTCATTTGAATGTTAGGCGATGCCTGGAGGGTGATTCATTTACAGCACGCACATTTTAAGCTAGATCACATTAAGTTGGCTCTGGTTTTAAAAAACTTTCCTTTATGTAACAGAAAGAAAAAAATCAAAATAGAACCAAACCTGTAAAATTTGAGTATATGATTGTATTTTCCACCCAAACGCCATCGTTTGTCCTCGTCACAGGTAATTTTAATCAGTCAATCAAGGGGCACAGGGAACTATCAGCCCCCGTCTCCAGGGCTTGGCCTGTGGCTCCTCTAGCTGTATCCTCAGGGTGGCTCTTCGGAGCCTGCCTTGCCTCCATTTGCGGTGGTCAGGTGTTCATTTTCCAGCCAGCTGTTGAGCCCCCACCTCCGCTGGGGACTGAAGCGTGGGGTGTCAGAGGAGAGCTGTCCAGGCTGCTGTGAGCACTGGCTCCCCAGGGGCGAGCCCCCTCTGCACGGACCACTTGCCACACACACCCCCGCCATGGTTCTACCTGCCTGGCAGGAGCTGCACACCTGGGAGGAGGAGCTGACGCGGGCCGCGCTCCAGCAGAAAAACCAGGAGGAGCTGCTGCGGCGCCGGGAGCGGGAGCTGGCCGAGCGGGAGATCGACATCCTGCAGCGGGAGCTCCACATCATCATCCACCAGCTGTGTCAGGAGAAGCCCCGGGTCAAGAAACGCAAGGGCAAGTTCAGGAAGAACCGACTGAAGCTCAAGGATGGAAACCGCATCAGCCTCCCTTCCGGTTGGTGTCCGGGGACCTGGGGGAAGTGGGAGTGGACCGAGGGGCTGGTGTGGCAGGGGTTCTGTGGGAACCAGGGACTGAGCTCAGAAACGTGAGACCCCAGGGCTCATCACGGAGCTGGTTTAGGAAGGTCCATTCTATTCCGTGGAAAGCCTGGCCTGATGGAAAGCTTCTGCCTTCCAGGGGGATTTTGTAGTTTGACTACACACAGAATATGAGGGGAAGGCCGTGAGTGTGACAGGCCTGGCTGCAGGCTGCTAGTAGCACGGCCGTACACACAGGCACATCTCACTATAGGCAAACCTGGAGAAGGAATATGTCACTGGGGGAAAAAATCCCAGGGTATGTATGTACGTGCGTGTGAGTCTGCAAAATAACTCATCTCAGGGTTTCTGTAAATAATTAGCTCTCTGGGTGCAGTTGAGATTAGGATGAACGTTTAAGAATTTGATTTACACATAACCTTTCAGAAACACATTAGCTGAACAAAGGTACATTTGCAGTAGGTACAGCCTTGGGAAAATGCAAAGAAATATGAAACTATGAATTAGAATCTCTGCGGGGGCGTAACGTACCCACGGAGGGAGGTAAGTACTCAAGTGTGTGTTATGTAAATAAAGTTCATTGTATTCTGAGTCTGTAAGGCCCCAGGAAGCAAGCTTATTAGAAGTATAAGGAACCAAGGGGAAATGGCATAATAGGAGTAGTAGTGGATGACTTTAAGCACTGGGATGGTGGCTTAGGTACAGACAAGAGAATCCACCTAGTGAAATTCAGTGAATGTGTCGTTGCACATTTTTTTCTTTTCAGGCAACACAGAGTCTTTAAGCACCTCTGGAGCATCTGGCACGTGCCAGCATCTTGCTGTGTGCTAAGGCAGCAGATAGAAAAGCCATGGAGCTCACCTACAGGGAGATCACAGTCTAGAGGGGAGACCTAGGTGCAAACATGCAGATCTTTTTCATAGCCTTTTGATAGATGGGGAGAATGAAGCTCAGAAACTCAGAGAATGTACCTTTTACATTCCTCATGTACGCTGTAAATGCCTTTGGAATACATCAGAATTTGGACCATTAACCGCATCTCCCTCACTTCCCCAGGTTCTGTGGGTTAGTCCTGGTACCCCGCACTTATCGAGCAGCATCAGTCTCCCTGCTTTGGTCCCTGAGAAAAGGAGGCGTGTACGGATAGACTGTATGAGATGGAGAATTTTAAGTTAGATTTCCTAGAATAATCGACAAGGTCTCATGATATTTTTAAAAACTATTCTAAGCACGTACTTGCTACACCTATATACATTATATAGACATATGTACCTTATATAGACGGCTTTATGAAAACGATATAATGAAGTTCACTTGGGTAATGAAGTTTCCTTCTCTTCATACGTCCATCTTGCCATGTCCCTATGGGAAAAAGAAATGATTCTGAAAGAGAACATTTCCCAGGTGAAAAGGAGCTTCTCAGGAAATAGGGCCTGTCCCTCAAGTCTGCCAGGAAGTGTCAGTTCTCTCATAGGAATTTTCTTTTAACTGAGGTATAGTTGATGTACAATATTACACAAGTTTCAGGTGTACAACATAGTGACTCACAATTTTTAAAGGTTATACTCCATTTATAGTTATTATAAAATATTGGCTGTATTCCCTGTGTTGCAGTATATATCCTTGTAGCTCATAGGAATTTGAGAATGGGAAAATTCTAATGCACACGCATCTGTTTGTCTTTCCCCAACCAGATTTCCAGCACAAGTTCACGGTACAGGCCTCGCCCACCATGGATAAAAGGAAGAGTCTCATCAACAGCCGCTCTAGTCCTCCTGCAAGCCCCACCATCATTCCTCGCCTGCGAGCCATCCAGTGTGAGGCTGTTTCCCAAATTAGTTGGGGCCAGAACACACCAGGGGCACCTGTCCCCTGCTCTGTCCAGCCACCAACTGGTCCAGGCTGGCTCCGTCCATAACTCTGCCACCTCTCCTCCACAATATGTATATACATGCACATGTGTACGCAGACCCTTACCCCCCACCTCGTCTCTCCATGACCTTGACCCTTTCACTCTTAGTGAGATACCAGCAAAGGGGTGTGTGGGTACCAGCGGGCTCTTTAGTGAATTACAAAGCAATCTGGGATGCAATGAAGGTACCCTGGCCTGGGGACCTTGTGCACTTGCTGCCATGTTTGGGGCATCATGGTTTTTCTTTTCCATGCTTCCCAGGAAAGGGCTTTGTCAAAGTGTAGGTTCCAAGGTAAACTTGCCAGCTACTTTGTGATAGGCCGAATCCGAACCAATTTTATTTTATGACGGTGTTTATTAAAAAGAACTTATACAGACACACATATATGCATATATGTAAAGTGTGTTGTATGCCCTAATTTAAAGATAGAGAGATTTCGTCAAAAACCCCCCCAAGACCTGGATTTCTGGCTTTCCTTGAAAAATCAAATCAAACCAGTGGATTCTTTTTTCCGTACGCTCTGTATTTTGCCTCAGTCCCCTCAACTCCCTGTTTTCTGGTAACTGGGTCACTCCATCCATTTATGATATAAGGCCAGTCTCTGAAGCATTTGGCTTTCAACCCTTGCTCTAAGGTATCAGGGTCAGAAGAAGGCACCTCCTCTCCTATCTGTTACATTTCTCCAGGCCTGTTCCTTCCCCCTCTCCTACCCCTGACTTCCTTCTCCACAGTGTTGAATTCCTCACTTTCTTCCTTTCCAGCACTTTCTTACCAAAATGTCTTCACTTCTACATCTTCCGTACCCCTTATCTCTCACCTACTTCCTCACCCGCCACCTTGCCCCCCGCAAGCCAGTCCCCGGCAACAAAACATGTTCCCGGAGTCAGGTCTGCTTGGAGCTCTGGTGACTGGCCGGCCTGAGTGCCCACTTTATGCTGGACTCGGGAGAATCTGGGAGGTTTTCTCACGTTTGGTACTTTGAGAGCACTGAGTGAGTGCTGGCTGGGAACTCCTTTACTTACCAGGCAGGCTCCACTCAGGCACAGAGTTTTTGACAAGGTCTGACTATCCCCCGCAGCTCCAATTATGTGAGTGTGTGTGTCCGGTCGGGGAGAGGCTAGTTTGGGGGGACCTCTCTGCTTTCCAGCTCCCATTCGACCTTTGTTATTCACAGTGACACCAGGCGAAAGCAGCAAAACCTGGGGACGGAGCTGTGTCGTCCCCAAGGAGGAGGGGGAAGAGGAGGAGAAGAGGGCCCCCAAGAAGAAGGGACGGACGTGGGGGCCGGGCACACTTGGTCAGAAGGAGTTTGCCTCAGGAGACGAAGGGTAAGAGCCAGAGGATGGGAAATCCTTTAAAACTATGATGTGGAATACCTTTTTCTCTGTTGCGTGTTTCGCCGCGTTCAGAGAAATGACAAACTTCTTGATCTTGCCAATAGGGTTTTCCAATCTCCTTGTTCCCTGGAAGCCCCTAGGACAGGAGTTGGCATACTTTTTCCATAAAGGGCCGGATAGTAAGTATTTTAGGCTTTGTGGGCCACGTGGTCTCTGTAGTAACTGCTCAGCCCCACTGTGGTAGTACAGAAGCAGCCACAGACCATGGACAATATGTAAATGAACGAGCATGGCTGTGTTCCAGTAAAACTGTACAAAAACAAGGGATGGGCAGGATTTAGCCCATGAGTTACAGTTTGCCCAGCCCTGGAGGCCTCCTGTTCAGAGGAGCAAGTAGCCCAAGCATTCACTACGTGTGAGGAGTTCAGCCTGAGTGTTCTATTTACACCTGGCTCTTCCCCTTAAAACGTCTGCCCAGAGGAGAGAGGAGGAAGGACAGAGGTGACACGCCCCTTGCGTGGAGGCTTATCCTAAAGCAGGGGCAGGCAGAATAACCCAGCCCTGGAGGTGCAGTTGGAGGTGACTCCGGGGCCACTGGCACTTCCTTATGACCCCACCCACTAGCCGCGCCTGCCATGTATGAGTGGCCCCTCTAGGCAAAGCACATGGCACGCCCTGGTGCCATGGATGTGCTTGTGTTCTTACTGTGGGCTTGTGACCCAGGGGTGCTAGTGCTTCACAGACGAGTTGCTTGTAGTGTAGTAGTGAAGAGCATGGACGCTGAGCCCAGGCTGCCGGGCTGTGAATCCCGGCTCCTCCATGCCCAGCTGTGGGACCTTATGTTTTCTCATCTATCAAATGGGGATTCTCTCCATACCCATCTCATGGAGTTGATCATGAATAAGCTCATATTTGGGAAGTCCCTAGAAGATGGGCTGGCTCGTAGTAAGCGTATGTAAATACTTGCTCTCATGATTCGTCCGTGCTTCTCATGCAGTTCTCCTTTATACTCGAAGAATGCATGTCATGGGATATACTTCTCATTCTTGTGTTAGAATCTAGAGCCATATTTCTTGACTTTTCCAAGTGGGAGGATAAGCAGTAGACCCCTTCATCCTTTTTAGTGGCTTTTCAAAGAGCTTCTAAGGTTGACTATTAGACTTAGAGGTGCCCTGAACCTGTAACTAGCCTGGGTATTTCTCTGAATACTACTATTTCATGTCCAAAATCTACTTCCCCATGTCAGATCTGTGCTGAAGATGAAAATAACAGGTTGGTTCATGAAGGATGGACTCTTGGAAGCCAGGCTTTGGAAATCGCTAGCTACCTTAGAACAGAATATTTAGATATGTAGGGCAGACTGCCTAAGCTATATAAGAATTCAATGATTGAGTCCTCTGGGAATTGCAGGTTGCTCTGCTATACTAAGTTCTGTAGGTACAAGCACTCCTCAGTTTGTCCTTTGAGCCTTGGCTAGAAGTAGGGTTGAGCTGGGCCTGAGGAACTCCGTCACCCTGAGTCCCTTGGTACTTCTGACACTAGTGTGTTTCCAGATAGGCTTTACCAGGTTGGCTATGGATGCCAATAGCTTCTCTGGTTCTGCTTCATTTAAAGGTATTTTTTGTCTTGCTAGTAAATTAACTGCATTTCACATTACACAAAACATTAACTTCGGAATTTTCTTACATTACATTAACTTACATAGATCTGCCCTCAAAACTTTTGAAGCAGTTCAAAATATGTGACTTAATTTTTCATGATTCTCAGTTCCTATTGAAGAAATAAGGAAAATCCACCCAGTCTCAAGAAAAGACCTCTTCCATGTCAGAAAATTTTGAGAGCCTCTATATGATACTATTTCTAATGTTAGTCCCTGTTGACTGAAGAAAATATGTAATGACAAAAAGCTGTATTGAATTCAGTAATGTTAAGTGAATTTGCATCTCCATCCTTTAAAAAAATAGTACATATCTGTAGGAAACATATGCGCTGTCTGTAGACAGCGGGGTTCTATGGATTCACAAGCCCCCTGTAATGAAGCTGTGGCTGCCCAGCGATGTTTGTCCCACAGATTGGGAGGTCCCGGGCCTGTGGTAGTTCCGGCCTGGTCATCTTGTTAAGATTCCTTCATGGTGTGGGGCTTTGCTGACCAGACAAGGGGAGGGCAGCTGGCGACATGGCTGGAGCCCAGCCTTGAGGGTTCTCACGTGGGAGAGGCTGAGCTGCATGTACCCACTGTTGCCTGCTACTGATTCTCTTTATTCATTGAAGATCCCCTCAGAGACGTGAGAAAGCTAATGGTTTAAGTACCCCATCAGAATCTCCACATTTCCACTTGGGGTGAGTCTAATCTTCACCCTCTCATCACATGTACTGGTAATAACCCTCCCTCCGTTTCCTTCTCCTCACAGCGCACCCCGCAGAATCAAGCCTCATTATTGCCAGGGCCATGCTGACTTCCTTTTTTTTTTTGGAAGCGGTACCATCGTGCACCTTGGGAAAATTCCTGTGTTGGTCTGACTTGACGTTTCCTTTGCTCCCCTGACCACTCCTGTTGGGATTCTCCCAGCATCCTTAGTTATAGGGAGACAGTCCATGGCTGTTTATCCTTTGGTCGTCAGCACTGGCTTTGACTCTGCTGATCTGGATTCCTTGGACCCAGAGCTGGAGGTGATGTTATAAGACTTCCAGTGAGAAGTCTCAGGCTGTGGGTTGGGCAGCACGCTTCTCTCTGGCTGTGTATTTTGGTTGAAACCACTGGTGGCTGGGAGGTACTTTAATTCAGTGGTATTTCTGATAGCACTTGAAGCAGAGGTCTGCAGTCAGGGAAAAAGTTGGTCCTTCTCCCTCCCTCAAGATGGGCTGGGAAGAGTGGGTTTTAGTTGAATGGCTCTCTCTAGCCCTAAAATGAGAGCCACCCCTGGTTATATACTGGTATCTCCAGGGCAGTCATAGCCCACAGATTCCTCAGTCCTCCTTCTTTACTGTCCTTTAGGGGAAAGACCAGTGCTTCTGGGCCTTTGATGCCCCTATCCTATAAGAGAGTTGGCGGGGTACGCAGTCAGTGACCTTGGAGTTACTGGCTTGCCACTGTGAGCTGATTACAGGGTTTTGAAAGCAAGCGCCTGTCATTTTCCTCTCCATTCCCAGACAAACCGAGGGTTCGAGTCCAGCCTTATGTACTGCCCACATAGGTCTGTCCCAAAGTGCACTGGGTTGGTGCAGCCTTGTTGGTTGATTTTTGTTTTTGAAACATGGATGGCTTTGAAAGTTGCCTGAGCATGCCATAAGCTTGGAAGGAGAAATTGAGAAAGGGTGTGAGTGGAGTGGCCTGGCCTGGCCCATCTCTGCTAGCTCATTGCCCGGTGCTTGCCTTGCATTGCAGATCTCAGCACTGCAGTTTTTCTAACGTCACCAGTGTGTTGTAGTCAGCGCCTGCGGAGTGATTGCCTCTCCCTTAAGTTGGGCTTCGGCAAGACCCTGGCCAGTGCCGGGCAGTCCTTATTCTCGCTGTCCTCTTGCCAGCCTGCCCAGCAGGTCTTCCCGCAGCTCCATAGCAGCATGTGAGGGGTGGGTTTTATGTCTCTGCTTTTCATTCCCTAGAGCATGTGCACTTTTGCTAATGAAGCGGGTGGGCTCAGTAAGGCTTGTTGCCTATACCCCGAGGCTCTTGGGCTTTGCTGTAATCAAGCAGACAGGGAGAGGCATTTCCATAGGCCCAGGGAGCTGAGGGTAAAGGAAGTAACCAGTTCTCACAGTTTCCTCACTTCCTCTCATTCAGCCTCAAGTCCCTGGTAGATGGATACAAACAGTGGTCGTCCAGTGCCCCCAACCTGGGGAAGGGGCCGAGGAATAGTCCAGCCCTGCCAGGGTTCACCAGCCTTATGGAGATGGGTGAGTACTGCCTTTGTCTTGACTCTCCTCCTGTTCCCTCAGGGAATTCTTGGCCAAGCTTCTCGGACTCTTTAAGGACCCCTAGTACTGCTTCATGGGGGTGTTTCCTCTTTTCCTCAACTCCTGGTCCCCCCCACCCTCCACCCCGCTTGTTCCTTCTCCGTTTGCTGTACTCTCATTCCATTGAGTCTTCTCAAATCACTACTGCTGCCATGGAACCTGCCTTTGGCCTCCTATCCCAAGGGGCCAGTTATAGTCTCCTTAGGGCGGTGAAGAAGGGGGAGGCCTGGAATCAGGCAGTTTCCTTTCCTGGGTCTATTTCTGTGTATTTTAATGTGGGGAGTCCACAGAATGGGAGATGGTGATAGAAGACACCACAGTGTTCCTCCAAGGAAGCTTTTCCAGTGTTGCCCTGTGATTACTGAATGGGTAAGGCCTTCTCCAGGCTCTCTCAGAAAGTACTCTTCTCTCTAGAATTCCAAGATCATAATAAGTCAGTCCATAGAGTAGATGGGCCTTCACCCACGCAGGGGGTTCTAATCCTTTGCAGGAGACTAGTCTTCTTTTTTTAAAATTTTGGTTGCACCAGCTCTTAGTTGCGGCAGGCGTGCTCCTTAGTTGCGGCTTGCCGGCTCCTTAGTTGTGGCCGGCGGGCTCCTTAGTTGTGGCTCGTGGGCTCTTTAGTTGGGGCATGTGAACTCAGTTGCAGCATGCGTGTGGGATCTAGTTCCCTGACTAGGGATCGAACCTGGGTCCCCTGCCTTGGGAGTGCGGAGTCGTAACCATTGGGCCACCAGGGACGTCCTGCAGGACGCTAGTCTTAAGACAAGCCTGTAGGCCATTATTCTAAAAATCCAAGGTCCCTTCCAGTTTCAAGTTGTAAAATAATTAGGGATCTGTCTGTTCTAGGAAACTCATACCGCACTTCTTGTGTTGAGGGTCCCTACGACAGAAGGAGCAGATTAGCAGATCGTCTTTTCTGCACATAGGAAAACAGGCTGTGGAGTGGAGAGTGCTTTCCCCACGTTGGTCACAGTTGAGTGTGGAGGCATGAAGCCCTGTTGGTTCTTTGTCCTGCACCTCAGACTGTTCAACGTCTGCATCCCTGGCACTAGGCCAGGGGCCTGCGGTTGGGGAGAAGGACCAGGTTCTTACTCTTGCCGCTTCGTTCCCATTTTCTGTTCCCCCTCCACTCCTCTCATCTTCGCAGAGGACGAGGACAGCGAAGGTCCACGGAGTGGGGAGAGTCGTCCACAGCCGTCACCCAACCAGTCCTACCTCTGTATCCCATTCCCTCGTGGAGAGGATGGGGACGGCCCCCCCGGCGACGGCGTCCACGAGGAGCCCACCCCAGTCAACTCGGCCACCAGTACCCCTCAGCTGACGCCAACCAACAGCCTCAAGCGGGGCGGCCCCCACCACCGCCGCTGCGAGGTGGCTCTGCTCGGCTGTGGGGCCGTCCTGGCAGCCACGGGCCTCGGCTGTGACCTGCTGGAAGCTGGCAAGTGCCAGCTGCCCCCACCGGAGGAGCCCGAGCCGCCAGCCCGGGAGGAGAAGAAGAGGCGCGAGGGCCTTTTCCAGAGAGCCAGCCGTCCCCGTCGGAGCACCAGCCCCCCATCCCGGAAGCTCTTCAAGAAGGAGGAGCCCGTGCTGTTGCTAGGAGACCCCTCTGCCTCCCTCACACTGCTCTCCCTCTCCTCCATCTCCGAGTGCAACTCCACGCGCTCCCTGCTGCGTTCTGACAGTGATGAGATTGTGGTGTACGAGATGCCTGTCAGCCCCGGGGAGGCCCCACCCCTGAGCCCCTGCACCCGCAATCCCCTGGTCAATGTCCGAGTGGAGCGCTTCAAGCGAGACCCGAGGCAGTCCCTGACCCCCACCCACGTCACCCTCACGGCCCCCCGCGCTGAGCCCAGCGCTCACCGGCGGACTCCTTCCGATGGGGCCCTCAAGCCGGCGGCCCCTCGAGCCAGCAGGAGCCCCTCCAGCAACGGGCTGAGCCCCAGCCCTGGAGCAGGTGAGGCCTGCCCGCCCCCTCCTTCCTCTTGCCCGCCTTCGTGCTTCCCCCAAGAGTGGAGATATAGGGATCAGCTCCGTTTCTCCTCTGGCTCAGCCAGTCGAGACAGGCCGCTCTGGGCCGCGGGAAGTGTCCGACTTCTCTCCGTCCTGTGCCTCAGGGGGTCTTCCCTGAGGAGGGAGAGCAGACAGGCAGGGTCTGGGAAGAATCCCATCAGGACTCCGGTGGGATGCTCAGGCCCTGGGTCTGGGAGTGTGCGGCGCGGTGCTTTCAGGACAAGGGCAGGAGTCCAGCTCTGTTTGTTCCCTGAAGAGGAGGCTGCAGTTACCGAGAGTAATCCTGCCCTGCACGCAGGAGGGTATTTTCGGCCACGCAGCTGGGCTCTTGTCTCTCGTTACAGTGTGAGTCCAGACACTCTCAGAAGGCGAGCTTCCGCCCGGGCATCACGCCCTCCATCACTCATCCCTTAGTCACTCATCCCATCGCTCAGACGCGGAGATGTGTCCAGGTGAACTGCTGTGCCGGTGCACGCGCTCGCCTTCTCCGTCTGACGTCCAGCACACCCTGACGTGCACTGTCACCCTGGGCCTTCCCCACCCTGTCCCTTGCGCCCTAGAAGACCGCAGTCTGACCTAGAAACCACCTCGGATCCCGTAGGAGAAGAGAACATGGCAATACCCTCTCAGTGAGATTTGAATGTGAACGACAATAGTACTAGACCATTCAGCTTGCCCTTCCCCTGCTTAGATTTTTTTGTTACAATCAGATAGGTGGCCTCTTTGGGAAAAGAGACCCCTAGATTACTCGTCTTTAGATTTCTGACACCTAGCTTTGTTCTTGTCACACGTTTATTAAATGGATGAACTGCGAATGAACAGACATTTCCTCAAGTTTCATGACAGATACGAGCCCCGTGTGTCCCATTATTATCAGATTACAGGGACCGTGGCCTTGTAGTTCACTGTTACATCCCCAGTGCCTGCCAGCACACTGCATGAAAAATAGTAGGCGCTCGTAATTCACGTTATCCCGAGTGGACAGGGACGTGGCGAGGTGGGGAGGAAGCAGCCTGTGTGGCCCAGAAGTGTGGTGCCATTATCGAACGCCTCTCCCTTTGTCTCTTTGACCAGGAATGTTGAAAACCCCCAGCCCCAGCCGAGACCCAGGTGAATTCCCCCGTCTCCCTGACCCCAATGTGGTCTTTCCCCCGACCCCAAGGCGCTGGAACACACAGCAGGACTCTGCCTTGGAGAGACCCAAGACCCTGGAGTTTCTGCCTCGGCCGCGTCCTTCTGCCAACCGGCAGCGACTGGACCCTTGGTGGTTCGTGTCTCCCAGCCACGCCCGTAGCGCCTCCCCAGCCAACAGTTCCAGCACGGAGACGCCCAGCAACCTGGACTCCTGCTTGGCAAGCAGCAGCAGCACCGTGGAGGAGCGGCCTGGGCTGCCAGCCCTGCCCCCCTTCCAGGCGGGGCCGCTGCCGCCCGCCGAGCGGACGCTTCTGGACCTGGACGCGGAGGGCCAGAGTCAGGACGGCACCGTGCCGCTGTGCAGAGCCGCACTGAACACACACAGGCCTGCCCCTTACGAGATCCAGCAAGAGTTCTGGTCTTAGCACGAAAAGGGTTGGGGGTGGGCAAGGGGGAAGCAGGAGATGGGGGGAGCCGGCTGGCACAGCCCTGTCTCAGAATTGGACCCCCTGAGCTCCCGCCCTACTTCTTGCACTGATAATGCACTTTGAAGATGGAAGGGATGGAAGCAGGGCCCCTTGAGAGGGCTTCGTGCCCTGCAGGGCCCTTCTCCCCAGGTCCACTGGAAGGGCCGTGGCTGTGTAGGGCAGGGAGGGGTGCGTGCATGTCCTCCACCCTCCACAGTCTTCCTTGCCTTCGAGGTGACCCTGCAGAGTCCCTCAGCCGAATCTGTCTGCTGCCCCCTCTCCTCAGCCCCCTGGGTGTGCCCTCCTGGGCTCCCTCTGTTAGCCCTGAGTTCAGCCTTTCCAAACACCAGTATTGGATGTTCTGTGATTGATTTTGCACTTCTTCTACATTCTTCCCTGATACTCATGAATCAGAATCTCGTTTGGTGTGAGATGTGAGCTTTTCTGTGTCCTGAGCCCTTCGGTGCCGGCCAGAGGACTAAAGGCAAAGTGCCCCAGTGTCGGGCACAGGAGTAGATGGAGCTAGCACCACCTACTGCACTTCCAGGCGCCCCACTTATTCCTCTGAGCCTCCCAGTGGTAGGGACCTGCCTCTGTGAGACAGGGGTGGGGTGGGGTGGGGTGGGGGAGGTGGGGAGGGAGTTAGGAAATACAGTTGAGTTGCAGCACAGAGGGTAATGGAGTCTGTCTGTCCTCACTCCTTTTGTAAACACTCAAAGAAGGGCAGAAACCAGCACCTGTTGACGGCACCCATCTCCTACCTGGGGTCCAGATGTGGTCAGACCAGGTTCTGATACAAACACACTCTCATCCCAGGAATAGTTTCCAGGGAGACTCACTGGTGACAGTTCTGAAACCAGAGACAAAGTTCTTGTGTTTGTCCGTTTGGTCATCTGATCTGTATGTGTTCTTCCCTTCCCTTGATCTTTCTTGCAACCCCTGGAATTAGTGGACTTCAGGTTATGTGTTTGGTGGGGAGATATCTCTGCACTGCACCAGAATAGCATATGGGGGTGGGTCCTGGACCCTGGGAGTTGGAACTGTGGGGATTCCTTCTCATCCATCATTAGTCTGTGAAGCCCTTGAAGTAAAACGGAGTGCTTTTTAGTTCCTTGTGTGAGTGGATGTGGTGAGCGATGATGTCTGTAAGGTGCTCAGTGAGCCCCTGATGTACAGTAACCTTCAAGTTCCGAGCACTGGAGACCAACCAAGGCCTCTCTGTGCACAGATAGCCCTCCCGCTGGGCTCTGGACCATGAGCTGGGTAGGAAGGACAACAGAGGCCAACCCCGACTTCTCTGGAATTTGTCTCCTTAACTTGAATGTTGAGCTTCTCCTGGAGCTTTCTCACGTGCATCTCCACATCTCCTCTCGCCCTCAGGCTCCTGCAGCAAGTGTGATCAGTTGTCTTTGCGCGGGAATAACAGCTGGACAGGAGTAGAGTCCTTAGGTCACGCTCCTCCCCCCTCAAGACTCTACACATCACTCCACTGTCTTCTGTCCTGGACTATTTCTCTGCAGGTGTTGGAGGGCCACCTGCAGGTTCCTTGCGTTTGCTGCCTGGATGGCAGGACAGGAGAGCAGCCATCCGGGCACGAGGGATGGATTTGGTCATTGCTTGCTCTGTAACTACAATAGAAGTCCTGCCCTGGGGAGGACAAAAGGGGAGACCTTGGCTTTCAACTTGTTCGTTGTTTTACGAGCCCACTGGCAGACACTTTGGTTCAAGGGCCCCGTGTAGTCTTGGGCAGGGAGGCACTGTTGGTTTTGTTGTCCAGGGTTCTGTTATCGCGTCTCATCTCTCTCCGTCTCTTTGTTCAGCGAAGACAGTACGTAAGAGATTATTTTTGCCCCCATGCCCCACTCCTCGGCTAGGAGGGGGGAAGTGTGAATCCCGTCAGCGGTTCCAGCCAACCACGTGACTCCCCTTCATTCCTGATGGGGAGAGGGACACAGGTGGCCTGTTCTGTGCCCTTTCCCAGGACTCTCCAGGGCCCCAGGCCCTAAGCCACTAACACATCTCTAAACCCTTAGCCCCACTAAATGGCCCCCGGTGGGTGCAGCATACAGCCTAGTCCAGACCATGCTGGCTCTGGACAGTGCTCTGTGGAAGGAGGCAGGAAGTCTTCCTTTGCTCGTTTTCTGCTTTCTGTCATTTTGTTGGATTGCAGCTGTCTGTCCTGGAAGTGTAGTGTAACTGGTGAGGAGTAGACTGATGGCGCGCTGCCGCCGAGTAAGAGGTTGAACGGGGTTCTTCCTCATCCATCCAGGGGAAGACAAGGGAAGGCTGGGTGTCTGCTAAGGGAGCGATTATACCCGCAAGAAGCAGAAGCGAGGTTATTCTGAAGGTGCCTCTGTGGACTTCCACGAAGATGGAGGACTTACCATCTCTCAGCTCCTCCAAACCAGGTCTCCGAGGGGCCCCTGCCTGCCACGCTCTCTCTGTGGGGCAAGGCTCAGGTGGGATAAGGATCCTGTATAGTAACAGGTTTGGGTTGCTTTCTGTCCACTCAGCTTCCCTTGTCTCCATGGTCATGGGCAGGGGCAGGCCTGGGAGCGGGGATCAAACCCCTGCAGCAGCAGTAGCTGACCCCCTTTCCCTTTCCTCAGACACTTTCCCACCCCTCTTGGCAGGTGCTGCTACATGGAAGATGGCGATGGGAAACAGATACTGCTCTCTGCCCCTTCTCCTTGACTCCTTCAGTTCCTTCCACTGATTTTGCACAGGACTGTCCTCTGTCCTTGGGAATCCAGGCCACTGCCAGGGGCTGAGTAGGTGTCCCAGTTATTTTCATATGTTATGTCTAAGACGCTTTGACAGATGCTCTTATCTTCACATCTTTTAGTATCCGGAGGTCTGGTAGTGAAGATGATGGTGGTGGTGGTGGTACCTTGCATTTGGATGACTCAGAATTGTGCTAACCTTTCCTCTTGACCTTTACAAAATTACATTATTTGCCTTCTACATTTGTTACGCTTACTGGTAGAGAAGGGGAAGTGCTTAAAGATGAAGATTCAAGTGAAGAGAGGTTAAAAAGCTGCTTGGACTGATTGCTGAGTCGGGCACCAGACTCCTGAGACCTGAACAGATTGGCTCTGTTCTCCGTTCTGCTTTTGCTGTCTGACCTTGGGCTTGTCTCTTAGTCCCTCTCAAATTTCCTTCCTGTAAAAGCAACCATCACCTGCTTCCCTCACAAGGGCAAGAGAGTGTGCATCAGAGCAGGTCTGTGAAGCCCGTGGCTCCCTGCCGGCGAAGAGGACAAACTGCTGAAGTGGACGATGCAGTTCTTACCGCCTTTGCCTCTAGGGGACTTGCCTACTTCCTCTGGCTTCTGGAAGAGGAATGATTTGGAGTTAGCTTAGCATGACTGATGGGGACGGTGGTCAGGCACATGCTCTTCTACTGCATTATGTAGCCCCTGGTGTTTACAAGCATCCCTCCTAATTCCCCCACCTAATTTGTCAGGCTGATGGTCCTACCATTAGTGTCTTACAGAGGGGGCGATGGGAGACGGGGAGCTGGAGGCAGCATTCAGGTGATGATTCGGGGTCTCTTGTTTCTTGGAGTCATTCCCAAAGTCTGATGTGTTTAGAGGCTGGAACCAGGCCGGTTCCAGAAGGAATCCTTGGGAAAGGGTCTGCTGGCCCTTGGGACATGGGTCATGGTGTAGGCTTCCTCACAAGGCCCCTTTTCCCTCAGACCACAGTTGCTCAGGGATGCCATAAGACACCCCAAGGGCATCTAGGCCTGAAGTGGTATCAACAGTCTTGCTTCACAGCCCCCCTTTGGAGGCTTCTTCCCTGCTCCCTCCCCCACAGGGAAAGAGCCCCTCCCGAGCATTCCTAATTCTTCCAGCTCGATTTTCACAAAGCACAGAGCAGCGGGTACCGAGGGCTGGGTGGCTCTGAGTGGTACGCCGCACGGTTGAAATGTCCGTGCGGCAGGCCCCTCTGTGAATGCAGAACCTTGACCTTTTCTGCGTGTGTTGCTTTTAGCCTGTGCCTTTGACTCAGGTGTGGGTCGGGCAGGTCAGAAACACCATTGTCTCCTGAAGAATTTCGGGGAAGGAGCAGGTGCTGCCGCTTCTGTAGCGGCAGGCTTCTGAGGACTCTGCCAGAGACTGTAGACCGGGGTCGGGGCAGAGCAGCTCACAGTGCCTTGTAAGCGAACGTGGCGGCACGAGCGGCAGGAATCTGGTGATCGGAGCTACCCGCCCGCATGCTGTGTGATGTCGCAAACGTCTGTCGCTCTCTGGGCCTCTGGGCCAGCTGTGAACTGAGGATGATGAAGCACGAAGCCTTTCTAGCTTGAAAATCTGTGGTCCTGGGGCCCCTGGTCTAGCACTGGTAAGCCTCCCCTTGCTGGGTCGCTTCCTTTTGTGGAGAACAGTGTGTGTGTGCGTGTGCGTGTGGTTGGAAGTCAAAAACAGTCAAATATTGGCCATTTCATGTGGTTTGACCGACTAGACCACCTGCCCCTTCTCCTTGGCTTCAGGCCTGAGATGACTTCCTCTCAAGCTCCAGCTGTTGTGAGGAACACATTCCCAAATGTCTCTCTTTGTTCAGACAGATCATTGTTTTCTTAGATCAGGAATTCAAATGAATGAAAATCCACATCAGAAGGGGAAACCCAGTGCTACTTCCAGGGAGCCCTCAGTCCCTGGCTTTGCCCTGGCCTTGCCTCCTGGGTGCCTGCCACCCCAGGCACTGGCTTTGGAAGGGCAGGAGGCAGAAACTGGAGTCCTAGCTGATTAAGGCTAATTAACGGGGCTTAGGTGTCTAATTAGCCCGACCCCGCCCTGGGCTTCTGGTTGGCTATACGGGCCAGGTGAGCCTCTCATTCACTTAGATTATTTTCCATTTGTCCTGATACACTATTGACAGGCCTCACCCCGTCCCTTGTCCATTTCAGGGAGCCCTGATTTGTCCTGCCGAAGGTTGGGCTGCTCCTTGATCTGGAGCCAGTAGGACTGGTTCTTCCTGATTCTTACTGGTTGTGTGGTTCCCTGCATCCCCTGCCCATGGCCTTCCTTTGGGTCTTTCGCTCACGACCACAGCTAGTTACAAAGAGCCTCGGGGCCCAGCTGGTTAGCTGAGGCATGAGCTTTTCTACTCCTCTCTTTGTTTCTCTTGGAAACAGACTTGCCTTTTCCCTGACCCAATCTCCTTCCTGACTGGTCTGACCCACCCTCCCTGCAAACACCCACAACCTAGTTTTACTAGCCTGATTGGCATGCGTGAACCTGGCAGCTAGATAGGTATCTCAGGACAGACACCAGAGTACAATTTCAGAGGTTCAGAGATAGGCCTTTCCTATTGGGATGTGTGAGGGAGACATTCAGGAAATCTGAACCCAGAGGTCAGATTGATTTATCAAGGGGGGTCCTGGTGAGTGATGGCCCCGTGGATATGGTGGTCTTGCTCTACACTCCCTGTAGTCCAAGACCGTAACGTGTTGCCCACGTTCCTGAAATCCTTCACACCCAGGTACTTGCTTTGACAGATCCCGACTTTATTTAAAATTTTGATATTGTGTTCATCATGCACTTTTCATTAACTTTAACTTTTAAAAGTATTGCATTGAAATAATGATTCATCTGGATAACTGCGTTTT